ACTGGGAAGGCGCTTGATGCAATGCTGGATCTTTTGCGTTCCGAATTCGTGTCAAGAGGTGCACTTGCGAGTCCAGCAGCCACGGACATCGAACCGTGTGCGGCCTAGCTGCTGCATGGGCCGCCAGCGTCTTACTGCGCGTGGCTCAAGGCTTGAGCTATCTGTGGATCAGCGTCACTCGACTCATCAGCCTCATCAGCTCTTGACTCGAACCGTCGACTCTTCTGTTTGGCCTTTCGAGGTTCCGAGTACGAGCTGTTTTTGGCAGAGGTGGTGCGGCAGTCCGTTGAGGCAGGCTGTCCTTGCAGCTTGACCATGTGGTCGCCTCGACTAGCGCTCCCGGCTAATTTACGCGCGGAGCTCTGGCCCCCGTCAGCTTCGATTTTTGCGCCAGCGCACACTTGAGCTGGTTGAAGCAGCAAGGCAAGGCAAGGCACTTACCACAGAAGTTCCTAGGCTTGTGATTTCGTATCTGGTCAGAGCTAAGTAGGACAAAGAGGGAGCCTCCACACGAGCTCATGTGGAATTTGAATGCTGAATGCATGATGCTGACTGCTTCAAGGAAGCCGCAGTGAACCGCAAATGGTCAATGGCTGTCAAACGACGGAAGTGTTGCTTCGCAACAAACACCGCGTCACGAATGCTCGCTAGTCGCGAGTACGAGTGCGAGTGCGAGCAACGATTGCTCCCTGTCCTCCAGTCGTCGACTGGGCATTGATGGACAAGCAAGCAAGAGCACGGTACGATCCGGACGTTTTGGATGACGGCGAAACGGAAAAGCTCCTCGCGATCGTGTCTTCAGCTCGCTGGCCCACACATCATGGCGTCTCGCTGCAGTAGCTCCTTTTCTCGTGCTTGGTTCGATGGCCTGTCAAGATTGTACTCTGCATCACCTTGATCGGCTTCGGCGCGCGCAATGACACGGACGCGCCTGGTCCAGGACAAAGGGATTCCATGCCGAGCACCGATGCAAGCCGCGCAGATCAAAATATTCGGTGCCGTGAGCCTTGACATGGCGTCAACAAGCGAATGACGACACGCCTCGTTAGTAGTCAATGGCAAGCCACATTTCCAGCCACAAAGGACACAGAGGTCACACGACTAGAGCATGCAAGACACAGGCGTGTGAAATAGGCGGCTAAAGAGATATACATTCATCTCGCTAGAGATACGCCCCTTTTTTCCCTTGCGAAAAGATGTGGAGCTTTGATACACACACGGCAGTGGTTGCCGATCACGCATTGTCGATTTCTGTCTGCCTTCGCCTCAACTTTTCCAAGCGACAGCTAAGGTCCATCCGTTCTCGCGGCTCCAAAGCTTCATCGTCTTCGAGCTCGTCCTCGATACTGCGGAGGATGCGCCTGAAGGCGTGAGAGGTGCCAGAACCAGCGCTGCGAGGAGCCAGTCGAGAGCGCGCGGATACTGGTACGTCCAACGCAGTCGAATGGGCATTCATAGAAACTCCACCGCTTCCAGTGTCCGCCATCGCAATGCCTGCCAAGCCGTGTGGTTCCGCCCCATCCGCTACGCCAGGCTTGGGCGCGGTATGGGAGTTCACCAGAGGCATTGGAGGAGCTTCACCAAAGAATTTTGCAATGCGCTGTGCGCGAGCAGCCTGCTGACGGTGTGCGCTGTGCATGCAATGTTCCATCGTATCGTCTACAGAGTCCGTTTCGAGGCTGTCGGTAGTCGATGTAAGTGAAGCGATTGAGCCGCGCCTTACTTCCTCAAGTGGGCCTGATGTACCTGCGTCATCCACGGGCGGGGCCACCGAAGTGTTGAAAGGGTGATACGCCCGCTGCATGGTGTAGGGATGCTTCGCCAGAGCAGAATCACTGGGATCGCTGGTGGACAGCGGCAATGACGCACTGTCCGACTCGAGCCCAGGAGAAGGACTTCGATACTCCCGCTCCGTTCTCGCGACGGAAGAAGATCGGGATTCGCTCGGTCTGGCAAAAGGGTCCCGCAGCGCCGGAGCAGCGCCGCGCTCAAGCCCGGCGCTGCTGCTGCTCTCGCTCTCCTCGTCGAGAGCTGTGACGAGCTGCGTCAGGAGATGGCGATCGTGCTCGAGCAGGTACTCCAAGCTGTCGAGAGAAGCTCGGTACTGGTTGGAGCCGCTGCGAGGTCGTGTGCTCAGAGGGAGGCTCACTTTGTTTTGCAGTGGATCAGCCATGCGCCCTGGCAGGACGCCGGAGCGGCCGATGGCGGAGACGCTGGCAGAATGCCCGTGGACACGACGAGTGCTCTGCCTGGACACTGCGGAAGAATTCTTTTCGAGTGCGGGCGCGCTTCCAAATAGGCCATGTGGAGGGGCCTCGCCGAACTTCTTTTGAATGGTCTGCGCTCGGCGCACGTTGGTGAAATGGTCGTTGGACGAGTTGCTAGAGCTAGAGAGCCTCAGCAAGCTTGTTCGTGGTTCCGTTTCAGTGAAAGACGTCGCACCAGGCGCAGGGACAATGCTACCTTGAGGCTCACGCTTCAGCCGCCGCAGTGTTGCCACCTTCGCTCTGTTCAGCCCTGAACGAGTGCTCTCCGAGTCAGAGTCCGCTGCAGTCGGTGCACCACTGAAGTAATCCACCTCCTGCATGTGAGGCTCATCTCCTAGCATGTATGCGGGGCCAGTATGGCTGTCGAGCGAGGGTGAGACGAGGTGAGGAGGTACTACAGCACCAAGCCACTTGCTTATTTTAGCGACGCGCTTGCGTCGCTCCTCTCGCGGGCCTCCTAACGGGAAGTCATCGAGCTCGAGGCTGTGATCCGCCAGAATTTCTAGACTGCTTGAAGAGTTGGACTGATCGATAGACGCATCCCTATGGATTGCATCGGGCGCGAACTTGGGTCCTGATTGGACACTCGTCGTGTCGGCCTGCAGAGTTGGAGGACTGTCGACGGCGCTCCAGAGGTCATTGCCATCCAAAGCATTGGTCAGACGAGGAAAAGCCGAGTAAGGAGCGGCTGGGATATTTGAGTGTGCCACATTGAATAATGTGCGGTAGGAAATTGGAGGCACCACTTTGAGGCCGGTTCGAGAGGCGCCTGAAGACCGATGAGATCCAACATGCTCGCGATCGCCTGTGCCAGGGACGTCCAGACCCAGGAGCGCAGCAGCTTTGGAAGTCAGGTTAGGGGGACGAGTCTCATGCGAAAGGTGTGACATAGCCGTGTTGGACGGGTTCGTAGGAAAAACACTCGCAGGCTGTATCTGCCCGATGTTGATAACGCTTCTGCTTCGCCGTCTAAGCACACTGCGCGCTCTTGAGAAGCCAGAAGGCTCGACGGAGATCTTTTCTTTGTGCACCTGAGACCTTGCCGTGTGGAGCGTCTCCATGGGATCGCTCTGCCGACGAAGCGTCGTGGAAAGTGCGGTCGCTCTCCTTGATGCTTTGCGGTTCGCATCGTCGTGCTCGGCCGCGCGATCTTCTCCTTCTCCAAACAATTCGCCTCCGAAGATGCTTACAAGCTTCTGTGAGCGGCGTAGCTGCTGCCTGCGCTCGTCATGAGTCAGTTCGTTGCAAGTCTGCGGGACAGGCATGGTGCTCGATGATGGTTGGCTGAGGCTTCGACCCGACTCCTGCAACTGTCGAGGTGATGCCAGCTTGGAAGAGCTTGATTCCGGGTCAGAATTGCCTGTTAGGAGCCGCTCCTTCCAGCCATCCTCGTCTCCCAGATAGAAGCCGCCTGAGCCGAGATTGAGAGAAAGGCGGCTAGCAAACGTCTCGCGAGATCGTCGCTCAGTCGGGCTCTCCGTCCGCGCTCCTTCCGATGCACCATCCAGAGGATATGTAGGCGTCCCCGGATCGTCTGAGCGAGTAGGAGAGACCGGTGTCGAGGCTGACGAAGGCGCTGCTCTCAGAGCGCTTTTCGTCAAAGAGTCGCCAGACATTCTGGGAGCAAACGGCGAGCGAGCTTGATACTGCTTCCACACCTGCGCCGCCTCTTGGCGCAGCCCGCCCTGTTGATCGTGGCCCATGCGATTTGGGGTCTCGATGCTGTGCTCTTGGTGTGAAGCCGAAGGCTCTGAGACATTCCTCGCAGTGTCTGCAGAGGCGGGCGCGTCTGCAACGAATGCATCTGGCTTACCGCGTTCGTGCTCGTTACCGACCGCTGCCGGCGCCATTCGACAGGACGCGGTGACTAAAGAATCGGTTCGAAGAGGGGTCGGCGAACGCGAAGAAGCGTGGAGCGATGATGGTCCGCGTTCTGATGACGATGCGCGTGAGCTTTGTGCGTATGGGCTGTGGCTAGCTCGGCGAACCGCAAGTTGAGTGGCCAGCGGCAACTGACTCGCGCTTGACACGGCGAAAGCGGTCGGTGACGGCATGCCTTGGGAGGCTAGGCTAGTCTGATCCAGGCTGGAGCTACTGTCGCGGTGCCGTACGCTCGGTCCTGTACCAGGAGGCTCAGGAGTTCGCCTCTCCCGTTTGAAGTCGGTGGGCACGAAAAGTGGTCGGTGATTCGCGCTTGTTGGCGATCGCCCATCGCTAGTGACGAAAGCGCGCGAGCCTGAGGCGGCTTGAGGTGATGGAGCGGCAGCCATGTCGAGTCCAGCGGAGAGCAAGAAGAAATCGAACTAGGATCTGGGGCAAGAGCACGCCAACGGTGCAGCGCTTAAGAGAGGACGTACACCACACGGTGGCCCAAGAATCTCCCTAATCAACTTCTTGGTCCACAAGTCGCCACCGAGATGTTAAGTCGCAGCGCGGGCTGTGCGGAATGAGGAAAAGATTGGCGCAGTCAAGGGCGTCAGATTGGAGACTCTTAATCGAACAACCAAAGCAGCCCGCGAGATGCCTGCCGCCCCTAAATGGTGCTGGCTACTTTCGGAAGGCATCGCCACTGCATGGCTCAAGTTTCCACAAGTTGCCACGCACACTACAGTCGCAGCCAGCCAATGGCACTGCAGCTTAGAGGTACAAACCCATCCAGCTGTGTGTCGGGCCGCCATGCGGGCCGCTGCGCGTCATGCCACGGGCTGGCAGATCGCAACCTATTGGGGTTCAAGAGACCGCTGCGGATGTTTCGTCACGCGGCTCACCCTGAGCAGCTAGATCCTCTCCAAACGATCGAGTGCAGATGATCACCGGCTTGGCTCCGCGAGTCACCCGCCACACAGGTCGGATCGCTGGAGCGAGACGAGACGTCTCATTGACTCACCGTTGTGATCACTTCAAGCCCCTCGGCGGCGATCGACCCTATGATGATATGCGTAGAGCAACGTGCGTGGACCAAATGGTAATTTCGAGCAAGCTTTGGCTGCACCAATTTGTCGTATCACCCCGGGTGTGAAGGGTCAAATTGATGTCGGACTGTCGGTATTGCGGAGCTTGGTTGGCACGCGAGAGCGGATGTCGTGTCGATGTCTGCGGAAGGCAGTAGATGTGATGTGATGTGATCAGGGGAGATGTGTCCGTTGAAAAAAGTCGTGTCTGTTGTTCCAGGAGAGCCTTGGACCGAAGGTACGGAACGTTCCAAGGAGTCCGAGCTCAGCGTGGTCCCCGCGCTCGCGCCGCGTGATCGGATGGATCTGCGGTCGAGCCCGCATACACGGGGCCGATTGGATCCTGTGATGGTCCTTTCGGCAGTATTGGCACTTGAGAGGTAGTCGAGAGCCTCAATTTTGCCGTGCCGTAGGAGCAGGACCGGCAAGCCAGATGCGGCGGAGGGATGCCAAGAGCCAAGATGACGATGAAGTCACGCGTCGAGGCAGGATATCGGTCGACGGAAGCGCTCGGAAATTTGCTGATCACAAGCGGCTGCTAGGAAATGAAGGAACCCTACGCGCGCCGTCCAGTGGTGGTGGTGATGATCAGGACGGCGAAGGGAAAAGTAGGATGCGGGTAGCAGGTCAAGAAAAAGTCAATAAAGACTCTCTGACGAAGTCGTGGTGGAGTATATCAGCTGCAGGCGAGCAGCGAATTCAGGCACCGCGAGGCAGCAGCAGCGAGTTGGTGCGCAAGGGGCAGCAAGGGCCCGGTCGGCGTGTGCTGATGCGCTGAGATCCCAATCGCACCATGCAAGTGTGCGCCCTCCGCTGCTGAGCTGCTTCTCCGCAGCTGCAGTGCGTGCTTGCTTAATTGGTGTCGGAATGAGGCGAGGAGACGCGGCTTGTGTGCGTTGCTGAGAAAAGGCGCGCAGGATGCATGCATGCAATCACGAATGCAGAAGCTGCAGCAGCGGCAAAGCAAAAATGGAAACGCTGCTGTTTAGGGTGGACGTGTACGGTACTTGACTTTGGGTGAGTCAAGTGCGTCTTCAAGTAGAAGCAAGGGCAGGGGTAGCCGTTGCTTCTGCTTGACTGCCTTGCCTTGCTCCAACTTGACCTCTCGATCAAGGAAAAGCGTTCGTTCCCAGTAGCAAGGAACGAGCGGCAGAAATCTGCAATGCAAGAGCGAGGTATCCACTTGCGGCTTCTTTGGCTTGGCTGATGCGATGGTTCGAGACGCGTTACGGATAGAGAGAGACCCTCGGTCGATCAAGAGCAACACTCGAGACTTTGCCGAAGCGAATTGAGCCCCTGGCTTGGCTTGGCAGCCGAAAGCAACCAGAGCTTGCGCTTGGTTCGGCAGTATGGGACGACCTTTGCAAGTGAGAGGCCAGGGCTGGCGCCGTGAGGCTGGGTATGGGTATGAGCAAGGCAAGAAATTGCCGATGCCGGTGGTGAAGAAAGGGGTCGATGGAAGGAGGCGACGTGTTGGTTGACCGCGAGGTTTTGATGTTGGTGGGCGGCTATGTGCATGCGCGCAGCGGAAGCTTCTGTCGGCCGTGCTTCATTCAGCAACAGGCTTCGATCAAGGAGGGTGCACAGGTTGGCCAGGTCGTGTGATGTGTGCAGATTCACGACTGGATGCAGGGCCGAGTGGGGTCGTTCGCTGGTGGGCTGTGAGTCACGAGTGAGAGAGCGTTGCAGTCGTGCAGAGTAGGTTCGATGGATGCCGTCGGCAAGTGCGGTGCGGTGCGGGATGCTTCTTCGGCCTCGGAATTCGAATCGTGAATGCAGATAGATGCACGCGAACGACGCCGCACTGCTGCGAATGGCGTGAGCCAGCGGGGCGAGGAAGCGCGAACGAAAGGCTTGGCAGAATTTGGCGCGGCTTCGAGTTTGGCCGCTGTCGAACCGAACGAGTGGGTCGCGCGACAGCGCCGACGATGTGGATCGGAGCTCAGAGTCTCCCAGTCTCGGCGTTGGGTCTCCGCTGCAGAGGAGGAGCTTCTTCTATTGGTGAGTGTGGATGAATTTGGAAGAGGCAGTGGGCTAGTCTGGATCACGAGATGGTCTCAGAAGAGCTTCGACAGTCTGTAAAGTCCACTCCAATAGCCGGAGTGCGAAAGCTCGGCTGCGTGGCGTGCACTTGACTGAATGTGCAACCGAACGTCGTCGCAAACGCAACTCGCTGAGCCCACACTCAGTAGTAGTGACTTTGCTAGACGCTGACGCGTACTGTGTAAGCCAGCCCAGAGGTCAGCGCCGCGTGAATTGCTTGCCAGGCGGATACGGAGAATAGCAAGACCGAGCGAGAGTGGTAAATGTTGAAGCGACGTGAGGATTGATGGACGCGATCATCGTGTCCTTGGTCTTAAGACCAGCAGCAGGTGTGTGTCCATCCAGCGCCGGACAATCGCACGCATGACGTGCGTATTTCAGCCTCACTCATGCGCAAACGTACTCAGGACTCACGTCGAACGGCGAGCCTCTGGCAAGAGCCAGCGGCAATTCATCTGCCCATGAGGGGGGGAGGCCTATGCGACTCTGTCCAGCCCTGCCGCTCGACTTGACTAGCCGATGTCAGCCTGGAAAGCTCATTCGCCACGCTTTCGAAGTCAGACCTGCGCTAATACAGCTAGCTTCGCACTGACTATCTTCGACTGGTGACCCTCCGAACGGATTGCCGGAAGACGTGATGGGAACGTGCACCGCACGGTCAGGCAAGAATGCAGCTGACCGTACGCAATTGCAACCGATTCAGACACGCTAGAGAGAGTGCTGGGCTGCTCCAAGCGGTGCATGGCGAGAGGAGAGCACCTGTGCCAAGGGTCTGCGTGCAGCCTTTCCTGCGTCTGCGTGAGAAAGACCAAATCAGCAACATATCCGTCAAAGATCGCAGCGGTAACACGCAAAGAGGAGCAGCGGCGATGTGAATCGTGGCATTCAAAATTTGCGTATCTTGTAGAGGGGCAAGCATGACGGGCTGTTCACGTCAAAAACCACAGCGGTTATAGACCAGCGGTTCCGGATCCGGTACCAGAGCTGAGGAATTCGCGTCCGCCGATCGATCTCTCGACGAGTAGCGATACCCTGCAGTGTGAGTCACGAGTATGAGTTGCGATTTGTCAGTCGCGAGTCTGTTGTGGGTGTGTCTGCATACACAAAGAACCCTCTCCGTCGCGCTTGGGCGGTGTTTCAACTTTTGACGCATCGCGTGCAGCTTGGCGCAGCGCTATATTATTGACCGTGTGCGTGCATGCGCTACTCTTGTGACTGCTAGCTGTGACTGCCTACACAACAGTCACAGAGAGTAGTCACGAGTAATTAACTAGTTGCGAGTATCTCGATCAATCGACATGGCTCGATACACGCTGCCTTGTACCCTGGCTATATCACTTGCAGGTGACTCGCAGGACTCAACTTCTGCCACCACAATTTGATCGAGCGACAGATACTCTGCGACGCGCGGGCGCTCGCCTTTGAGCGAGGCTGAGCAGAATCAGACTGTGACTGGCGCAGCTTGAAGCGCAACCTTCTACGTCTCAAGTCGCCGCTTTTTCTCACGATGCATGCAATCGGCAGTCGTGACTCGCAAGCGAGCGTGCTGTGCATGCCTTTCCTTAGATGATCACATCTCAAATCGTGATTATTGAATCGCCCCGGCTTACAGAGCGCGCTCCAGATGCGGCGTCTGACTTTGGCACGAATGTGAATCTTGGATCGCAAGCCGACGCGTTACGCCTCAGCCCTTGGCCAGCCCTAAGTCCAGAGAAGCTCCCAAGTGACGCAGCAGAGGAGACGCTGCCGTCTGCAGGAAGCCTTACAATCGCATTTTGGAGCTTTGCGGAAAGAAGTCGAGAAGCGGACGAAGAGAGACGGACATTCACGGACTCGCAAAGCGCGACATCTAGGCAGTAGGCGCCCTTTCCAGCTTCGCGGCGCATGAAAGCAAAATCAACCCCACCTCGCTCCACAGGTCCACTACTGCAACGATCCATCCATCGACAATCGTCTCATTCCTCGGCCCGTTCGCCTGCTTTCTGTCATGTCAGCAAAGGCCGCACGGATCGAGCCTTGAACGCGAACAGTCCGGGAGCGTGACGAGGTGCTGCCCTATCATGAATCACGATTCACGACTGTCGAGCCAGCGCACGATGTAGGGAGGAATGAGCCTGTCGGCGTAGGCGCGGCTCTAGCGGGATCGGGACGCTAAAATCGCGCCGGCCTCACAAGCGCCATCGGGCCACGCAGTAGAGATTCAGCACCTCGTCCCATTTTCTTCGCGATCAAGGTCTTCCACGCCCATGTCACAAGGCGGTTGGCAGCACAGGCACATGCGTAATGAGAGGAAAATTGTCAGGAATTGCATTCCAAAATTGAAGCTGGAGCATTGCCAAGTAATAAATCGTGCAGGACATTCACAGTGATCACCTGCATGCCAGATGATTGACCGCGCGGTCATCCTTTCTTGATGAACCCTGATGGTGAGGAAGATGACACAGCTGTCATCACTCAGCCAGAAAGCCTGGATCATGTCTAATATGCAAGCGCATGTCGGACTTCTTCGTCGTGAATGAACGTGTCGAGTATCACTTCGTGGCGCGCGGTCAGCGTCTCGACCGTGCTATTCATGAACTGGAAATTGAGATTCGCACGCTTCGGAATCCCTGGGCTCGGCCGGGTCGAGTACGAAGGCCACGACATGGCTGCGTGATGCGGACAATGACAAAGCTTCAGCCCATCATGCGGCTTGCCGGACCTGCTTCTCCGCTTGCGGTAGCTCGGCAGCATTACACTTGTGAGCTGCGCGCTGCACTCACCTCCTCGACCGTTTGGCGTGTGATGATTCACAAAGCTGACCCACGAGCTCGCGAGCGCTTCAGCCACGCTAGCCCACCTACTGCCGGGCACTCGGAAATCTGACCAGAGGGTGGGCCAACCATCAGCATCGCAGCGCTCGCAATTGTGCTTGGGCACCACAATCTTCTCACCCGTTGGCGGTCGTAGGAAGAGATAAGATGCAGACGGCCTGCGGTAGCGAGGTCAAGGTCAGCAAACATCCCGACGCCCTCGCGCGGAGCTGCGTGTTCACACCACGCACTTGAACACTGTGACACGACGGAAGCGAGGTTGGGAAATGCACGGTCAGCAGTGAGTCCCCGCGCTTCCAAATAGCCGCCCCTGCGTGTCTGCGTCGCTCTTTCGCCTCACAGTAATCGTTATCGACGGCGTGAGGGACGCCTAGGTGTGCTGGCGCGCCGGGAGCAGGCTCGCTTAGCGTATACGACCAGATCGGGAAAGTTTTGTTATGCCCTTGATGAGCTGCAGAATGCCGTTCGAGCAGATAGCGAGTCGGAGCCACAAAGCCTAGGTCGCCCACTGCATAGATCATGGGAAATTTCGTACCTTTTAGCTCGGAAAGCGATCTACCTCTTCCAGCAAGCGCATTTTGTGTCGAGGCCCACTCACAAATGGCGGCTGCGCGCTTGTATTGATTCGTCTCGTTTGGTGCAAATAGACGATCCTCTGGCTTCTTTCCAACCAGATCGGCTCTGGAAGGACTTCCTTTGACAGGATCGTCTGGGTACGCCTGCAGTATCTTGTCGATGACCGTATATTGATGACTGACGTCTAGACCTTCGGTGGAGAGAACACCCCTTCGAATCCAGGCGAACAGCATGGAAGAGTTCTGAATATTCGTAGGCGTGAACAACGTTCCTTCGTCGAGCTGAGGACCCCGCGCAGTGAAGCATCAAGAACGCAAATAAGTACGCCACGATCTGCAGCCCTCTTGCTTGCAATGAGTTCCAAACTCACCGTATTGCCCGCCAAGATGGGAATGTCAAGGTATTTCCCTCTGGTCACACGTTCGTAAGCCGACTCGGGTACAAAGTAAGGGTCCTGAGTGGGGAACCAAGGGAAGAAGAATTGGGTCTGCCAAGAAGCTTCGTTGAGGATACCTAGTAGGCGCTGAACAGAGCGGGTGTTGGCTGCCATCATAGAAGCGGTGGAGAGACCACGCAGGCAGGCGATCTGCTCGCGAGGGCCGACTTTGGCAGCGCAGGGCGTCGTCGCTAGCAGCTGATTGTACTCGTCCCTGTGCCTGTAGTTGGTTGCCGATACGCTCCCGGGGCTAACGAAGCAAAAACATATCGTCAGCGAGAGACGAAGGCACTCAAGCGAACTTTGTCCACCCACAATGCACCTCCACTTTGAAGTATCACGGCATGAAACAAATCCTCGTGCTCCCTGTCCGCGTCATTTGCCAGCATCTGATACATGCTCGACACTGCCCCTGCGGATTCGCCGCCGAGCGTGATGTGGTCAGGATCACCGCCGAATTGCGCAATGTTCTGTGCGGCGAAAGAAGTGTGAGCGGCTTGCTTGTGCATGAGAGGCGATTTTGAAGGATCTTGCGCACCCTCTTGACCCATCTCAGAGCGGTCCTTTGATCCCACAGCATGGTATTGAGATCAGCATCTCCTTCTGCCGCTAGCTCATTGACGGCAGGACCAGCCAGCAGACCGAATGCGCCAACGCGGTAGTTGAGCGTCACGACGATGATGGGCTCGCCTTTTTTCAAAGAGGCTTGCATCAAAGTCTTTGGATCGTACAAAAAGTCTGCGCCCATAATCCTGAGTGAGCGGGCGCATGAGAGCGAAAGTGAGTGCAATGTCTGCAGCGCTTGTCGAAGGCGCGAATGACTTACCACGCGCCTCCATAAATCCACACAAACACTGGCAGAGGCTTGTGAATGCTTATGCCCGGCGGCCTGGCAATGTTTACGTGCAGACAATCCTCCGACACCACCTCTTGCAATCTTCCTGCCGGCAAGGGAGGTGCCCATCCGCCAAAGACTTTGGGCACGACACTGCGGTCGAGGCGAACAGTGCGTCAGTGCGTGACACTTGTGCCTGCGCTGTGCATGAGTCCCTTGCATCCACACACGTCGCGCTCACAATTGCGGACAGCTAGGAGCAAAGAACGAGGCATCGTAAACGCCTTGCCAAGACAAAGTGCGATTGACCTGAATAGACTCGACTGGAAATTTGTAGCTCAGGTTTTCCCAGATGGGTCTCGGTCTTCTAAATCTTCCCTCGTTGGCAGTGTCCAGAGCGTAGCGTACGCCTCTGAAGTACTCTATGCCACCCTCTTCGATGCCCCTCACCGTGCCTTGTTCCAGCCGCACCTCCGGGCTCTTGACATCCGGCTCCGATGTGAGGATGGTGCTGTAGGACACCAGGCCCAGGAGCGCCAAGTACAACGCTCCTCGGAATAGTCTTGCGATCAGAGACATCTTGGCTTCAGGGCGTGTGTCCAGGAAGCTCGTGATGGTGATGCTCATCCAAACGAGCAAACACGCTTCGGAGGACCACGTCCCGCCACACGATCCTTCGTCCTCAGAATCAGAGCCAGAAGCTTAGCGCCGCCACGCGCGAGCCACCGTCATGCATGCTGGCTCCTCGGCCACGCAGCAGCACCAGCAGCATGCAGACAAAGCACAAATGTCCTACCAAAGGTCCGCACCGATCGTTCATTACGGTACCCAGAGCACAAGGCTCACACTCAAAACTAGACTCACACTCTTCTGTCGACTCACAATCAATCCCCACTCGATATCATGACTCACGCTTGCCGCATACTCACTATACTCACGACTGATATGCAGCAACGACGACTCTAGCTATAGCTGTTCTCGCACGGCGCTCATGACTTGCTGCTGCTGCCGCCTGTTCTTTTGCAGCGGCTCGACTCACCCATTCACATTACATTGGATCTGCTGTCCACGCGCGAAGCATCCATCCACAAGCACGCTGCTGCATCCTCATCATCATAGCAGCAGCATGGGAATTAAATCCGCGGGGTACGTGTTCGTGCAGCAAGTCACGCGCGCAGGCGCGGGCGCGGGCGCGGGCGCGG